ATTGTTTTTTTTAGCTAACATCACTCAATTTTTTTTTTGTGCCTCTCTGGATATACCCATCAGTAGGTACACACAGAACAACGTAATAGAAACTAATGGTGGATACAGACATACCGTCAGAAAACTGATAGATGCTAAATACAGTGCATTCAGGGAAGTGCATGCAGGAAGTATTTAGACCTCTTCATATTTTTTCCACTTTTTTATATTGCAGCTGTATTCTGCAATTATTAAAAAATAAAAAATAAATTGCAGCAATCTACACACTCAAAGATCGCACTGGTAAGCTACCTGGGAACAAAGTAGGCATTGATTACCTGTTTTGGGACAAAGATTACACTAGTAAGTTGTATGGGAAAGTGACTGCACTGGGAAGCTGGACACAAAAATGGCGGACATTCTACCTGGTGAGGTTGAGGGGCCCAAAGAGGTGGAGTGATTTCCATAGAAATGGGTGTAGTTAGAAGTGTTATGCTTGTGAGGGGCAGGGGTTAGCAACATGACCATTCCAACATGGGGTATAAAAAATATTCTTGCACCCAGGCATCAATGAGCCTAGGATCGGCCCTGGTAAAGTCACAGATCGGGTGAAGGCTATAAAAAATTACTGCATTAAAGGTTCCCAAGAGCATAGTGGCCTCCATAATTCTTAAAGAGGCATGGAACAACCAAGACTCTTCCTAGAGCTGTATACCTAGCCAAACAGAGCAATCTTGTAAGAAAGGTGACCAAGAACGCGGTGGTCACTCTGAGTGAGCTACCGTGACCATGTGTGGAGATGGGAGAAACTTGTAGACAGACAACCCCCATTGCACCACTCCACCTATCTGGTCTTTATGGCAGAATGCTCAGACAGGCACCTCTTCCTACAAGACGCATGAAAGCCCACTTAGAATTTGAAGGGGGAAAAAAGCACCAAAAGGACTTTCAGACTGTGAGAAACATGATTCTCTGATCTGATTAAATCAATATTGAACTGTTTGGCCTCAATTCAAAGTGTAATATCTGGAGGAAATCAGGCACTGCAAATCACTGCAATAACATCCCAATGGTGAAGCACAGGGGTGATTGCACCATTCGGTGGTAGGGAATAGTCTGTATCCCCCAATTTTGTGTATTTGATATGTCTGTATTGGTTATACACCTGTGTTTTGTTTGTCTGTCTATTTACCAGTACTATGTAAGCTATCTGTCTGTCTATATCTACCATATATCTGTATTCTGTCTGTATTCACATATGGCTTTACCCTGTCTGGTGAAGTGCTGCCTAGAAAACAGCACACAGGCTCAAAAAGATCAGTCAGCCATATTAAAGGACCACTATAGGCACCCAGACCACTTCAGCTCAATGAAGTGGTCTGAGTGCCAGGTCCATCTAGTGTTAACCCTGCAGCTGTAAACAGCAGTTTCAGAGAAACTGCTATGTTTACATTAGGGTTAATCTAGTCTCTAGTGGCTGTCTCATTGACAGCTGCTAGAGGCACTTCCAAGCTTCTCACTGTGATTTTCAGTGAGAAGACGCCAGCGTCCATAGAATGCTTTCCTATGGACTGACTGAATGCGCTGGTGGCTCTTGATGCGCATTCACATTCATTGGAAGAGGGAGGAGAGTTCCCCAGCGGCGAGAGAGCCCGGCGCTGGAGAAAGGTAAACCTTTAACCCCTTCCTCCCCCTAGAGCCCGGTTGGAGGGGGCCACGAGGGTGGGGGGGTTTGTTTTCCTGGCACTATAGTGGTCCTTTAAGGCTCCAACAAATGTGAGTGTGTTTAACTCACAATTTACAGTGTATTCGAGTGTTCGATACAAACGCACAAAATCTAAACAATTAATAAGACAAACAAAATACAGATTAATGGTGAATACAGATAGAATACAAACATTGTGGATATAGTGGTGACTGGTGAAGTTTAAAGATAGTGTGGTTCTAGACTCTTCCCCTGGAATTTAACGATGCCCCTGACTTCTTGAGCTCTGCCCATTTAATCCCACGTACCCTCCCTCTGAACTAATGAGATGCGTGTACTGTTTAACACTATGAACCTATAGATACACATATTTGAGCAAAAAACACTTTAAATAGTTCAAACTCACATACACAGAATGCAGTTTAACAGGGGATACAGACAGAATAAAAATAAGTGGTGGATACAGACAGACAGATTGAAAATAGTCAAATGGTTAAATACACAAACTACATACAAACTGATAGACTGCTGGAAATAGATAGGAAGAATGTGATACATATGGTTAGAATGTGAGATTAAAACACACCCACTGCCTGCTATACACAGTTTAACACTTAGATCTGATAACAGACACTTTGCTTGTTGTATATTTAGTGTATGATAAACATTTACACATGGTTTGTTATGCAATCTAGTATCTGTGCATGAGCACACATTGCTTCTTGGACATGAACTGTAAACTTAGTATGTATGTATACAATCACACACAGACAGTGTGTTTTGTATATAATGCCTGCTATAGATACCACGTACTATAAAATTACCTTTGCACAGAACTAGGCATAGACTATACCTAGATGGTGTCTATCAGGCCACATAAATGTGTGCTGTAAAAACACTTAAAGTGAGGTTTTAAAGTGAATTTAACATTTTAGGCAGCTGTTGGGAGCCCTTTGCCACATAGAAACATCCACACTACAGATGTTACAGATTCAGTGCACTGCTCGGATCTCTGAGCACACAGTGCGTGCTATACATCAGCATCCCTGCACATGCTCTGCTCCAGCACTGGTTTCAGCCGGTTATGGAAACAGCTGTTGAGATACACGTATACATACACACTACGTCTTACATAAGCAACGTTCATATACGTGCACACACAGGGCTGTGTCATTGATCGTATTTCCTCACATGTGCTATTCCAGTACTGGTTTCAACCAGCTCAGAAGCAGCTTTTGAGGCACACATAAAGGCATGCAGGTTCTGAATGTACACACCCACAAATGCTAGTCACCGATGTAGTGTAACACTCAGATCTCAACCCACACATAGTGCTACATATATACACACACACATATATATATATATATATATACATACACACACACACCTCTACACACACCCTGCTCTAGCTGTGATTTTAGCTGGGTGTAGATGCAACTAATTAGAATTATTCTTATTATATATACACACATACATATATACACACACACACACACACATATATTTATAAATAAATAAAAATAAATATATATATATATATTAGAAATAGATACAGTGTAACGCTCAGGTCCCTGCACACACACTGTGTGTCTTTCCTTGCATATCCCCGTGCACATGCTCATCTCCAGCACTGGTTTGAACCGGTTTAATTGTAGAAGCGCTGCTGAGAGCTCTCTCCCACACATATACATGCAGGCAGTCAGTGCACTGTTACAGATACAGTAAAACACTCAGTTCTCTGCACACACAGAGCACTGCTAAGATCTTTCTTTCAGAAACACAGACTCCCACCACTTGGTGCTTTTTATACATAATTCACATTAAAAATTGCTGACAAGAAAATGTCGGTACTCATTTTATTGACTCTACAATGCTGGCTTATATATAGAATTACAGTGCCAAGCACACTGCTGTCGCTAATGCTGTAATGACACATTTAGGTTTAGGGGTGATTTAGCGTTCGAACTCTCTTGCCTTTAATATTCTATAGATTATTGCTATTGTTACTGCACAGCCCTTCATTCTGGACTCATACCCTAAAGCAACCCCTGCACACAGATATGCATACATTACATTGCTTGTTATAAATACAATGTAACACACACATACACACTCGTGGTTTGATACAGGCAGGTACTGTGTACTAAACAGAGCTCTGTACACATTGTGCTCCAGCACTGGTTTCAGCCGGATTAATTGTAGAAGCAGCTGCTATGAACGCTGATTGTGTGCAAGGGGAGGGAGGGGGAGACTGGGAGGGACACTTGGAGCCTGCAATAAGATTGCAGTTATTGTTTTCTTGTGATGATAATTGTGGGTTTATATAGCAGGTAATAGTACTTGCTGTTGTACATTATGAAGCATGCATGGCAGAGGTAATAAGTGAAATTAATGTTTTATAATGTTGCTCAAGCTGTAAGATAAGTTATTTAGATGTTCCTGTGTAATGGCCAGATCTTGTCCTCCCCTCCACCACACACCACATTGCACAAATCACATGGATCTAAACTGTAACCAAGGGCATGCGTTTGCCGTATTCACATTGAAGCATCCTTGGCGTCCCTTAGTATTAAGGACAAGTAAAATAAATTGACATTTGCTATACTGGGTCTGTGTCTTGAGAACCGACATGCTAGATCTTGCTAAAATAGTCCTTTGGATAAATAATCAATGAAGATGACAGAATATTTTAGACAACTCTCCACTATTAGACTTACTGTTGCAAATCGTTTCTAAAATCATTTTATCTGCTGTTTAGCAAAATGACATTTTTGTAAGGTAAGCATTTATTCAGACTAAAAAACTGTTCAGTGTATTTTTCCCCCCTTATTATTTTGTTAAAACAACAGTTCAAGCTTCATAACTAATACCGCTTGCTGTAGTGGTTATAGTGCCATAAGTGCCCTGGCGCTTCCCCACCTTGCTTGCCACTTCTACTACTAACAAAGGGGTGCTGGAAGCTCCTAAATAGATGACTCTCATTTAAATAAGCTGATGGAAGCTCCAGTTTAGGTAACTCCCCGAAATGAAGTCAAGTTGTTCAAAATTGTTTTTAATAACTGGGGTGGTCATGGTGAATGGTGCGTTCTTTGAATAAAATGCTTTATTATCCTAACAGCATTAACAGATTATTGATAACTTTGCCATAAATGATCACTTCATGTCATCACCTGCACAGCACAAATCACATTATCATTACAAAGCACATCATAAACAATGTAGGTGTTACAACGACTTTACAATGTACTACAAATAGTGATGTCCCGAACTGTTCGCCGAACGGTTAGTGAACGGTTCGCCACGGACTCATTATTGCGTAAACTTTGACCCTGTACCTCACAGTCAGCAGACACACTCCAGCCAATCAGCAGCAGACCCTCCCTCCCAGACCCTCCCACCTCCTGGACAGCTCACTAAGAATGCAGCTTCAAAATGGATGCTGTCCAGGAGGTGGGAGGGTCTGGGAGGGAGGGTCTGCTGCTGATTGGCTGGAGTGTGTCTGCTGACTGTGAGGTACAGGGTCAAAGTTTACTCAATGATGAGTCCGCTGCGAACCGTTCGGGACATCACTAATGATGTGTTCTTTGAATAAAATGCTTTATTATCCTAACAGCATTAACAGATTATTGATAACTTTGCCATAAATGATCACTTCATGTCATCACCTGCACAGCACAAATCACATTATCATTACAAAGAACATCATAAACAATGTAGGTGTTACAACGACTTTACAATGTACTACAAATAGTGATGTCCCGAACTGTTCGCCGAACGGTTAGTGAACGGTTCGCCACGGACTCATCATTGCGTAAACTTTGACCCTGCACCTCACAGTCAGCAGACACATTTCAGCCAATCAGCAGCAGACCCTCCCTCCCAGACCCTCCCACCTCCTGGACAGCTCACTAAGAATGCAGCTTCACAATGGATGCTGTCCAGGAGGTGGGAGGGTCTGGGAGGGAGGGTCTGCTGCTGATTGGCTGGAATGTGTCTGCTGACTGTGAGGTACAGGGTCAAAGTTTACTCAATGATGAGTCCGCGGCGAACCGTTCGGGACATCACTAATGATGTGTTCTTTGAATAAAATGCTTTATTATCCTAACAGCATTAACAGATTATTGATAACTTTGCCATAAATGATCACTTCATGTCATCACCTGCACAGCACATTATCATTACAAAGCACATCATAAACAATGTAGGTGTTACAACGACTTTACAATGTACTACAAATCAACTGTCGGTGTCATGAAAAGAAAAGAAAATGTAGTTTACCAAAGGTCACAGTGATGCCATAGCACAACACAAATCTAACTGTATAACTGCCATCCTCAGTGCCACCCATATATAGGGCATCCTGCCATCTGCCATCCTCAGTGCCACCCATATATAGGCATGCCAGTCTCCCTACCTGGCATCAGTCAGGGCAAACCATGCAGCAAGTGCTGGTAAAGTGCTCTATGCATGGTCTCTAGTGCTCTCAACACATCTAATGATGCACTCACATTGTGCGAACTAGGGTAACACTGAGACTGGAGACCACTGAAATTTGGACAGTTGGAGGGCATGTAATTGGGAGTTAACGTGACATCCCAATGTACCATGCAGATATCTAACTGTCACGGCACACCCTTCATATGGAACGTTATGACACCAGAGAGTTCCAATGACATCATAGTCCACCATGCTGATAATCAGACTCACAATGACATTACAACCTGCAGTGCAAATAATTACGCATTTGTTCCTGCTCTCTTTGCTCTGGGTCTGGACCACTCAGTCAATTTTGTAAATGACTAACCTTCTTCCTGCCTCTTCAGTACTTTTACTTCTTCTTTTCATTCTAATGCTGTAATAAGCAGTTGGGCACCAGGAGTTCTTATAATAATAAAAGTAACAACATCACAACATGGCAATCTGAGAGAAAGAGGACATTTCCAACTATTGTTCCAGATGAGCCAATTAAAATTTAAAATCCCCTAACCATTTTCCACATATACTCATTTAGAAAATAAAACTGCTAATGTTTATTTTATTGAAATAAACAGATACTTAAAGGGTTATTCCAACCACCACGACCACTTCAGTGATTTGAAGCGGTTATTGCGGTAGACGTATGTATGTGCCGTGTTTCTCCTTGAAACACTTCACATACTGAGTTATTGTTAATTGTGTACTCAGGCGAGTTGCCCCCCCAGCAAATGTGAATTAGGCAGCTCAGAACTCTGTTCCGGGCTGTCTGATATAAATTCTGTGCATGTTTTGCAATTGTGGTTAGACCTGATAATCTTCTCCCTTATAGGTAGATCACCTGAAAGGGGATGAGAGCCTTCCCCTCTCTCAGTCCCACAGTGTTTTACCTCCATTGCAAAAACCTTCACACCTCCCTCCTCACACCAGTCCAGAGTGCGCGCATGCGTTCTGAGCAAGCAAAACGGTCCAATCACAGGGTTCTCTATGAGAAGCCTGTGCTTGACCGAGGGAGGCCCATGTGACATCAGACAGAAGCATTGAAGTATTGCAGCTGGATTCCAGGTAAGTAAAAAAATATTTTGATGCAGCTTACTCTGCAAATGGGGGGAGGGAAGGGAATATTATTCATAGGGCCCGATAAGCAGTTTGATTTAGCTACAGATGTTCTCTCAAAGTTTTGAAAACAAGCCTTTATCATGGAAGGTATCAGTAAAATTAATTATATACCAAACCTACACAAACCAGTTTAAATTTCAACACAGAGTATTGGTGGTAAGTATCTTGGAGGGGGCGGGGGGTTACCCAAACATAAACAGGAGTCCTGCGTTGCCATATCAACCATAATCACCTCTGATTTAATTGGCATATGACAGTGTAATACAGGATAGAACTTTAAAAAGGGAGAAAGTAAATTTAAAGAAAATTTAAGAAAATGTATAAAAACAAATAGCTGTAATGAGATGCAAAAATTTACAAAAAAGGTGCCCTTTTGTATACAAAACATGCCCTTTTGTATACAAATGTATTGCATGATTTAATTTATTTTTAATAGAACCTTCATCTATTATTCACACTGTATGCTGCGTTATTACGGGGTTGTCAGTTCTGAATTTAATGTCCATATTCCTAGTTGTAACTTAATTAAACCTGTTGGTATATTTTTCTGCAAATTACTTCATCCTCTGTCATTGTGAGTCAGATAGTTCTCTGTCTGCCTCCTGCTCTAATTCTTCTCCGAACTCTGCCCTATTTAACATCTCCCTCTATCTCTAGGCGCATCCTCTTTTTCCCCATGAGAAGATTAAAGCAAAAATGTCAACAATAAAAAAAAGTCAGATTCGCTTTATTAAGAAAGCATGGAGCCTACAGGAGAATTTCCATTTTCATCTGACATCCCATACTCTTTTGCATTCTGCCTCAGACAGCAGAGTATCAAGGATTGCTAAACTTCAGGGCAAATCCTGTCACTCACCCTTTCCCTGCCCCAACCATCAGCTCTTGTACCAAGAAGTTGGCAGACTTTTTCAACATTTCCCCCACCTGGAGAAGACAATCTGACCAAGAGACCAGGCAGTTACCTGTAAAAGACAGATATTCTGTAAACAAAATCCAGTAAATCCCTAACAGCAGTAGTGAAATGTAAAAGCACTTTTTCGTTGTACACTCAGTGCTCCAATATATATTTTGCAAACTTGGGACTCCAATCAATATGTGGAACACTGGACACTCCATTGCACTTGTAGCACACTAGGCACTCCACTTTATATGTACCACACTGGAGGCTTCACTTTATATGTGGCAATTCTCGTGGGATAATTTACTGGGTATCTCACTCCACATGGGACACATTTGACACTACACATACAGGACATACAACTCTACATGTGGTGTGCTAGTACTCCATTCTATATGAAAGGCAAACAGTACCTATATGGAGTAGAGGAATTCCTATTTGTAAATGATCTCTGTAAATGTTAGGTAAATCATCTACTGTTCATGTAATAACTTGTATGTTTATTTATTAAAAAAGGAATCGTGGTGGAAAAAAATAAGTAAATAAAACATTTATCTAGTCCTAAATGGTCAAGCTTAAAACAGCTGAGTTGGAGATTTAGTTTGAATAAACCCTTTTTAGTGTATATCTTTGTGTTTATCCAAACTTCCATTGCTGATGACTTGCTGATTATACAATGTCTGAAGAAGCCCAACAATTAAAACTGTGAGAATTTTGTTTCAGTGTAATCACTGTTATCAACACTTATACAAGAACTTTGCAGTAAACGTTTGTGTGTGTTTAAAGGTGAGGAAGAGACAATGAGGTGATGAGGCAGGGGCTTACACAATGGAGGCTATAAACCCAAATTTTTCTTTTAGTTTATCAGTGATAATAGCTAAGGCTTTTTTTTTTTTGCAAGAGAGGTCTATTTTACACACATCTGGAATGCATATTGTTGGTTTTCCAGACAATTTGGTGAAAGGATCATTTCTTTCCCCCTCACTGCCAAACAATGTATGCTCTGATAACCCCTCTACATCTACACAGAGGGCTAAACACATATGCAGAAAAAGGAAATAGCACTCACTGTATTAATCCTGTGGGCATCAAAAGTGACACACAATGCCTGTGCAATGAAAAAGGTAAAGGAAAAAAAAGGTGTCCAAGGCAGTGTTTTACATTTCATGTGCCATTCCTCGCCAAACTTGTAAATAAAAGAGGTCATTAACACGTTTCACACAACATATGCCCAAACCCATAGTCTAACCCAGGGGTAGACAACCTTTTAGCAGCACTGTGCCGAAATAAGATTGTGATGGCCCGTAGCGTGCCGGTCCTATTTTTTTAAATTGAGGTGTATACTGCTTGTGTTATTTATACTGCAGTTGCTTTGTATCGTTGTATTTGTGCGTATATGAGCTATTATATTGTACATGTTCATGAGTAGTTTGTGGTATTGTGTCCCTATGAATGTGGGCTGTGTATGGGGAATGCTTGTGGAATTGTGTGTGTGGATGGAAATGTCACATAGTGTGTTTAGTGGTGTATGTATGTGTGAAGCTGTTTGGGGTATTGTATGCAAGAGTCTGCATGTGGGGTTGTGTGCATGTATGTGGATTGCTAGTTGTGTTGCGTTTGTGCAGATTGTGTGTATGTTTGTGTGTGGGCTGTTCATATTATTTGTATGAGGGGAGGGTTATTGTGCATTTCTGTGTATATCTAGCCGTGTGGGTGGCTTCCCTGGAGTCCAGTGGGGGAACATGATGGCAAGGTACAGGTCAAGGACAGGAGCTGCAACAGCAGCTGCGGGCTGCTCTACTTTAGTGTGGATTCCCATTCACAAGTGCTGGGAGGAAGTGCTCTGAGATCACTTCCTCTACATGCTGCAATGCATAAATTGAGGATTTTCCTCACCACCTTTTCGTATTAGCAGATATCTGAAGTTTCACTGGGACTCCTGATAGGCCAGAGAATGTTTGACTCTGGCAGTTTTGAGTGCCGTGCAAAGGAACCTTGAGTTTGCCTACCTAGGGTCTAACCAAATCACCCATACTTTTTTTTTCAACTTAAAATGTGATTTAAGAGTAGCCTTAACATAATTGTAACTGTATCATTTGTTTGTGGGATTATATAAATTTTGTATACATTAACATGACTTCAGCAGCACCACTGTAGTGCTTGGCGTGGCACAAGATCAGATATGATAATTATGTACAGTCATTCGGTATGTGGTTGAGCTGCATAACTATACAGGTGCCTGAAGGTTCTAATTAAATTATCCTTCTCACGATTATGCAGGGAACGCGTTCTACAAATCATTTCTCTTGCTATTAGCGATACCATGGCAGATATTCATCATAAACTGATGAGAAATTCAGAAATTCTGCCTACTCCAATAGGAAACAAAGACGGGGGAAAAAAAACTTGTGAGCATTTTTCACTACTGCTATCCCAATTTGTGTTATGGCTCAGGGTGTAATATTTGTAATAAAACACAAACACAAAAGAGGGATTTTTTTTACCCAA